AGTTCACTTTAGGAATAAGAGCAAGGCATGTATGAGAAAAGAACTTAGAAAGTCTTCTACCATTGAAGACATCTTGAACAAAATCAGTAATGTCATCCTTAATGATGTCCCAGCATGTTTGAAAGAATTTTCCATTATAGTTATCCGGCCCAGCTGCACTAGTAGGACTCATGTTGAATACAACATCTCTAATCTCTTCAATATCAGGAATGGCAGTAAGGGTTTCATTGTCATCATCATTAATACATTGAGGTATATAATTGATGATATCTTGATCCCTGAAGTGGTGTTTGATATTAAAGAACTGTTGAAAGTGGTGAACAACTGCTTTGCCAATGTTAGAATCTCCTTCAATCCATTGACCTCTGTGGTCTTTAATTCTGTGAATTTGTAATCTTCTCCTTATATCTCTGATGGTGCTATAAAAATATTTAGTATTAGCGTCATCTTCTTCAAACCAATTCACCTTAGCCTTCTACTTGAGAATGGCATCCTGCATCCCCATCCATCTAATGTATTCTGCTTGGCCTTTATTCAATTCAGCCCTAGAGTGATCATTACTATTATTTAGATCACTTTGCTCAAGGTCTTGCATTTTGTTTTCCCAATACTGGACTTGATCAAAGACATTGCCAATGTCTTCTTTAGACCATTGAGTCAGCCTTCTACTAAGAATTTTGAGCTTTTGTTGAAGTCTCCACAAAGGGTTACCTTGAACTTGATTACTTCAAACTTCTTCTAATACATGTAAAAAAGATAGTTGATTAGTCTAGAAATCTAGAAACTTAAAATATTTAGTCCCTTGTTGGTCATGATCATGACATTGAATTAGAATAGGCCTATGATCAAACCCAATTCTAGCCAAGTGATTGACTGTGTTGTTTTTAAAAACATGAGACCATTGATCATTGATAAACACTCTGTCAAGCCTCTTCCAGATTCTTCTTCTAGGTTTTCAATTGTTACACCATGTATACTTTGGCCCAACAAATCCCAAATCCATCACTCCACAGTTATCCATACACGTATTGAAATCGAGAGTTTTATTCATTCTATGTGGTCTGCTACCTTTTTTCTCATAGGGGTCTAGGATGACATTGAAATCAAGCCCAATGCACCATGAACCATTCACCTGGAGATGAGTACACCCTAAGCTACTCCATAGATCTCTCCTTTCTTCAGGAGTGCGCTTAGCATAAACTGTTGTGATATAAAGTTCACTATTAGCAGCCCCATAGTGCAATTTGATAGTAAGTTGCTGCTCATGATTGTTCAAAACAGTGGTCATGTTGTTACCTGACCACATGATCCAAATCTGACCATTAGTATTGGAGATATAATGATGATAGCCAAGGAATCTCCTGCACCTTTCAATTTTATTGGTACTGGCAAAAGGTTCCAAAATGGCAACAAGTTCCACCTTATAGATAGTAATCAGTTTTTTTAACCTTGGCATGGCTTTTTTGGTATTGACTCCTCTAATGTTCCAGAATATTGCACTTATCAAGGAAAAACCAGAGAGTTAGCATGAGTTTCCTCCTTTAGAAGATGTAGTATCTCTATTTTTGTTCTTTTTTCCTTTTTTTCTTTCTCTTTTCTTTGCCTTCTATAACCTGTAAAGATCCTTCCTTCGATTCTGTTTGAAGTTGATCATCCAGAATCATGACTGTTACCCTATTAAAGGAAGTCACTTCAATTTGTTGGCTTGTAACATGTTTGTCCTGTTTTAGATTGGATTCAAGATTGAGATCGACTACCACATCAATCCCAGGAAGGTTTCTGATCTCAGAAGGTATACTAGTTGATTCATTGACGTAGTCTTTCATTGTAAGAGCTTTCTTTCCTGCTTGTCTTTCCTCTTGATCTCCATTTTCATTTTGATCACTATTTTCTTGTATTGATTCTTGATAGTCTTCTCTGGCTTCACTGTGATTTGGAGTTCCAGCGTTTTCATTATTGCTTCGATTTCTAATTAATGTATCCTGACTATGAGCTTCCCCCTCTCTATTGTTGCTCAGATGCCTCTGTTTATCCTTGGTCTGAACATGTTCACTCCCCAGATCTATATCTTGTAAAGCCATTGTTATCTCTTTGTTGTTCTTCTTGCCCTTGTTTGTAACTTCTGACGGATTGATAATGGGCTTGAAAATTACTTTAGCCTTCTTCTTGGGAAGTTTCTTCTGTTTTCACTTCTTAATCTTTATGCTGATTCTGTCTTTGATATTGCTTGATGACCTTTGTACGGCATTCTCCAGTTCAATACCATTATTTTGGTACAATTGATTCTTTATAATATTGGCACTAGTTTGAGCATTATCTATAGCAATACCAATTTCTGATTCATCCAGTTTGTTGTCTTTTTCATTTCCTTTTGCTTCTTCATTCTGATTTGCCATAGCTTTTTGAGCTTCCAATTCTCTAGCTTCAACAACTTTCTTCCTTTCTAGATCTCTACAATTGATCATATTGTGACCCAACTTTCTACAAAACTTACAGTATTTTGGAACACCTTCAAACTCCAATTTTTGAACAAAACCTTTATGAGGAGCATTCTCTTATATTTGTCCCACATAAATAGAGTCTGGTTGGTCTTTAAGTAGGTCGATTTCGACTCTAACTTTTGCCATGCTTGGCCTCGTCCTTCCTCTAGTAGCCAAATCCATTTCGGGGGGGAGGGGGGGTTACCAATTGCACTCACCACTTGTTTAACATAGTTCCATGTGTGCATATGAAAAGGTAAACAAGGAAGAAGGACCCATAGCGGAGCAATAGGCAGATCCTCTTCAGGTCTGAAATCATGGGACCATTTTTGCAGCCACATCTGTTGGCCTTCAATATCAATAACCCTTCTAAACCAAACTGAGTTAAAGTCTTCTTCGTTGGTGAAGTCTAGAAAAACATTATAATTGTCATAACCCCCAAATTTGGCGGAACCCTTAATCGAGATTAGTTCCTTGAATTTTGACCTAATTTTGCCAATTTGTGGCCGTGATTTGAGAAATCGCCCAACAATTGTAAGCTTGCATTCTTCTGCCATAATACCGTAGTAATCCGATGCTTTGAAGAGCACCGCCGACATCCCATTGTGAGTGGTGTGAGTAGCAACAATTGAATCTTTTCCATGGCTATTTGGGGGAATCGGCACATTCTAGGAAGTGATGACTTTTGTAGCATAAAATAACTTTTCATCTGTAAACTCAGTAGACTGGTTCGCCGATAGATTTGGGATTGATTGACCTTCCAGACGCGCCGGAGCAGCGCCGTCCGGCGGGCCCATTGACTGGAGCGTGTGGTGTAATCGCGGTTAAAAAATAGCCGTTATGGGTCTCTTTAGAGAGAGAAGAGAGAATAGCCGTTATGGGTCTCTTTAGAGAGAGAAGATAGAATAGCCGTTTAAATGCAAATAGCCGTTATGGGTCTCTTTAGACTAACTTTTCATCTGTAAACTCAGTAGACTACATGCATGCTATAGATGATAGATTTTCTAATTCTTCTTGGACATCAACAACTCAACGCCAACATTCCTTGTAGAAGATAGAATCCTAATTCTTTTAATCTAAAGATTTCAAGTTTAGGATACAAGTTAAGTTGCGTCTCTACCATATTATTAGTCCTATTCGCTAAAGACTCCAATAATTCGTCCTTTCTGAAAACAAATATAAACGTTTTAATATTTTTCAAGTCTTTCTCAGGTTTGATGAGCAAGAATCTAACTGGAAGTAGATGGATACATGCAATCTGAATGTTCTATGGAAGTTGGGTGAAAATTGTATTTTTACTGGAAAAGCCATGTCATATCTATTTATTTAGTAAGTACTAAATACTCTTACCCTTTTCTTGACTACTGTTTTATGTTATTCCACTAATCTTGCTCGACAGCTACCATTGATTCCGGGAACTTGGGAAAAATTTAAATAGCCCGAAATTAAATATATCTTTTAGTTCCTATCACATTAATTTATTTAATTAAAATATTTTTATTATTTATACAAAATATTTTTAACAGATTTTAAATCCAAAAGGGTGACTTTTAATTTCTAAAAAAGTGGTTGTTGCAAAGTGCCTCTTCCTAAAGATTGTCTTAGTTATAAAAATCATTCATTTTTGAACTGACTCCTAAAGGCATTATAAATATTTGGTACTGTTCCAAACCAAACACAATAATCTTTTTGAATTCTCTTCTTCTCATTACTGTTTTTTACAACTCATAAAAAAATTTGGGAGAAAATTTGAGTTAATTGTTGAAATTCGACTTCCATTGGCTTTGTAAAATCCTGGAGAAATTTTGCAACCATTCTTGTATATTTCATACCATATTTTGCAATGTATTTTGAATATCTATATTTATGTGTTATTATTATCGTGCAACAAACGTTCATAGAGATTATTATACTAAAAAAAAGTAAACAATGAATATGACCGGCTACTTGTGTAAAGACGAGGCTATTGATTTGAAATATTGATGTATTTTGGAGGTAAAGAAGGTGGAAAAAACACAAAGGAGAAAAGCCACAATTTAACCTTTGACAATTTTAAATTAAATAGTGAGATTATTTTAAGATTAAATTGACAACACACAAGAATAATACACGTGAAGTATACCTCTGAAATTTGTATGTGTGGAGTCTTTTTTACGACTTCTTATAATACTCTCATTTATTTCCTTTCAACATTCCCCAAATTTTTATATGTATATAACTATTTACCTTAACCACTTAACTTGACAAGTAAAATTTTATTTTTGTCCTCTAACCAATACATTATACATATACGAATAATACTATACGAAAGTTCATTATTCAAACTTAAGGTTACTTAGACTGTCGCAAAATTTTAAACACTGTAAATTATGAAAAAAGGCATTTTAAAAAGCAGTCAGAAAAGTGGCTATTTGTGCGATTCATCCCTAAAAGCCCAACATAGCCCATTTTGAAAAGCCCATATTCAACGTGGACTATATTTCCATAAGTCCACTGGATGAGAAGTAGAGAGCTAAACATGTCTCAATAATCGTCGTGCTCCTAACATCTCTCTGCTCACACTTTCGACCAACAGGAAAAAAAGCTCGAGAGATCGATCGAAGTCGAATATGGCGCAAGTCCCCAATTTGGATAACGCTCCCATAAATCTGAAATCTCTGAGGTACAAATACTTATACATAATGTACTTCAATGCTTATGCATATCTATATCCCCAATTGATCATTCTCTCTCAATTGTCTTACAGAGATCAATCACTGAAAGAACTGATTACGATTTTGAAGAACGTGAGATTTATTTATATAATTTGGATTTGTAAAATGTCCCTTTTACTAATATTTCAAAAATTTAACCGAAAAGTTGAAACTTCAATGGAATTTTTTTGTTTGGAGTTGCAGATTAGGGGGAAAAAGTGTTTGGTAATTGATCCTAAGCTTGGCGGTTCACTCTCTCTTATTGTACAGAGCTCACTTCTCAAGGCAACTCTCTCTCTCTCTCTCTCTCTCTCTCTCTCTCTCTCTCTGTTTTTGTGGTATAGAACAAATCATTTTATTGAGGGTAAAGTGAGAAGTTTATAGTTAAATTATTTCTAAATTTAGAAATGTATCATTGTTTTGGGAAAGACTAAAAAAAGTGTATCACATAAAGTAGAATGGAGGGAGTAATAATTTTGTGTGGGTGTAAAACTTTTGAAACTCATGGCATTATATGTTATAATATTTTATGATTCATGGTTCGGTTTCGGTTGGTTTTCTCCTAAAAGAAAACCAAACCATTTATGTCGGTTTTTCAAATATTGGAACCAAATCAATTTAATTGAGTCGTTTTTTGTTGGTTTTTTCGTTTTTTTCTCGGTTTTCTTGAAGTGTATGTGAAATACATTGTCAGGCACATGTTCCACCAATTATATTCTAGCATAACACTACCAAGCCGATTATTCTTTAAGAAAAATTATCATTTACCAAGACATCTTGATGATAATTGAACTGAATAGTGATGAATAATTGAAAGACTCAATTAATGATAAGTTATTCTTAACATGAAATAGATTCTTGGACTTATCTAAATATAGATAACAAATCAAACTAGAAAGTAAAGGCAAAGAACTAAATTACTATATAAAGGCAAAGAACTGAGTTACAAACCAAGAGTGTGAAAGATTAATATGTATTGTGACATTTTAATTTTTTTATATAAAAATATACATATATGTGTATAATTATAATTTTCACATTGGTATTTACATAGTTGATTTGGTTTGGTTTTTTCCGTTTAGTTTTTTCTTAAAACCAAAACCAAACCAAAATTTGTTGGTTTTTAAAATTAAAACCAAAACCAAAACCAAAAATATATTGAATTTTTTCTTTGGTTTGAGTCGGCTTTCAGTTTGGTTCAGTTTTTCGGTTTCCCGTGAAAAAACCTATTATGGTTACAAAAGCTTCTCATTAAAGGTAAAATAGGAAATATAAATTTAATTGTCTTTTTCATTCTTTTTTATGGAACGGGTAAAAAAAAAAGTATACTTATCACATAAACTAGGATAGAGGGAGTGTTCAGTTTACTAATTTTTTAACTGAATTTTTGAACTTCTGCAATTTTTTTGAGTTTTTGCAAAGAGTATTTGTTAGCTGTCTTAGCAAAAGAAAGTTTCTGTGGTGAAAATTTCCGTAGTTTTTTGAGTTTCTAAAAGAAATGAAATATTGAGTTAAAGAGAACAGTTATTTTGCAGTGGCATTGGGTAACAAACATGTTGATTCTGTGTTCTTTTTCACACTAACTTTTTTTTGTGAGTTTTCACTCCTGTAAACAGGAGCATGGGGCTGAATTGAGGCATCTTAATGCGGAACCAGTTCAAACTGATTGCACGAAAGTAGTTTATCTTGTCCGAGCTCAGCTTGACTTGATGAAGTTCATTTGCTCACACATCCATAATGATATTTCTAAAGGGATTCAAAGGGAGTATTTTGTTTATTTTGTCCCTCGTCGTGCAGTTGTATGTGAGAAGGTTAGCCTTTTTGTGAAAAAATCTTAATAAACTTCTTTAAGAATTTAGTTTGGCATGTATTTCTCATTAACAATTGTATAGAATCTTTGACAGATACTTGAGGAAGAAAAAGTTCATCACCTGTTGACTATAGGGGAGTATCCCCTTTATCTTATTCCACTGGATGAGGATGTATTATCATTTGAAATTGATGTTGCTCACAAAGTACGTTTGTTCGTCGCATTGATTCAAGGAAAAGGTTATGTACTTTTCTAAAGATTGGCATATGTAAAAATAGTTACATTTATATGACAGGAGTACCTAGTTGACGGGGACACTACCTCCCTGTGGCACATAGCAAAAGCTCTCCATAAAATCGAGGTGCTTTTTATGTTTACTTGATAGAACTAACTACTATTGGAATCGGTTTCATTGTTTTTGGGCAAAGTAGGTTCAGCATAAACATTAGCTAACAGCCTTTTGTTTTCTGAGAAATGTAGTTTTCCTTTGGAGTGATTCCAAATGTGAGGGCCAAAGGGAAAGCATCAGTTCGCGTTGCTGACATTTTGAATCGGATGCAATTGGAAGAACCTGTGAACACATCTGAGGTAACTCAAAATCTTAAATCTACTAGATCAATATCATACATAAAAAAATATTGGGCACCATGCATTCACAAAATAATACCAATTCGTTCTTTCACTGCAGATGGGTGTGCCTGAAATAAATACTATCATCCTCTTGGACAGAGAGGTACCACGTATTTTTTGTCTTCCCCTCGGCACTACCCCTTCTCCTCTCTCAGTATATGCATTTAATGCAGTTATAAAAAGTATTACCGTGTGGCTTCATCAGTTATTTGGTAAAGAGGAGGCTTCATTATAGAATTTTTCTGAAGGTTCAGGCTAGTTTAGAGTAGGTGGTTATTGCCATTCTATTGAGTAGGATAATGAGAGAGTGAGACTGAGCTTTCTCATAAAACGAAGGTGAGAGGAAAGGGGATTGGCTTTTCTGAATGGTATCATGTCCAAAAGTGGTTGGTCTGCTCTAATGACACAGTTCAAAGCATGAGGTGATGAAGGAAACCTTTAAAATTGAGTACCTTTTCTTGCACTGATCCGTTGATTCATGAACTCAATTTTCTCCTTTGAAGATAAAAAATGCTGGGAAGGGGAACATCTTATCATACTCTTTCAGCTTGCTTGAGTGGAAAATTGTGGAATTTTTTTATTTCTGAATTCTCACTCTGGCTAAAGCCTGAAACTTCAGGATTTAAGAATTGGAAAAAAATATGCTCTTTTATTTGTCTAGTGTACAAATAGTTGAGCATTCTTCAGGTCTAATCTTGCTAGTTCATAAAGTTTTACTCCTTTTGTCTCTGATCCTCACGGTCAGTTAAGTGCTCTGCTGCTTGAGTTTTATTTATTTTTTGAACCTTCATAGTTGTGGAAATACTATGGTTACTGTATCTTGAGTTGTTTGAGGCGATATTCTTTTGGCCCTTATGTCCATTTGTCACTGTGGTTGTAAGACTTTCCTGGAATTGTGCAGGTGGATATGATCACTCCAATGTGTTCGCAGTTAACATATGAAGGGCTGCTGGATGAGGTAAAAGTGATGTTCTTAGGATTGCTATGGATCTGTATATTTAGGAAACCGTTTAGGCAGCAGTTCATGGTTGTATACAATAAACAGACTATATGCTGTGAGAATTTTAAAAGCTATCTCTAATAGGCTTCATGCAGTTTCTTGNACACAATAAATTCTTGTGTGATTTCCTAGTGATATACCTCATGGTTCTTTTATGTGCTACATGATAATGCCTTGATTCTCATGCATGCAGTTTTTTCTGTTATATCATATATGGTATTCTCTCATATGGATTCCAGGTCTTTGTCATGCCAATAAGTATAGTCAGATGTGACCACTGGGAAATATATATCTATTATTTTTTGTGTCTTTTTAAAAGAAAAAGAGTGTCTTATTTTGAATTTCTCTCCATGACTTAGACGTTTTATTTCTCCGTTTGAAATATCAATTCATTACCTTTGTAGTGACAAGTTGTTCAAAGAGATACGGGACCAGAACTTTGAAGTTGTTGTCCAGGTTGATTTATTTTCTCACCATCTTCTAAGTTTTAACAAAGTCTAGGCGTCTTCAGCATACCTATCAATCTATCATGCTCTATCATAACAGTCAACTCGCACATTCTTTCCTTAGTCTTCTGTTTCTTTAATTGTCATTTGCAGTACAATTGCAGGTTCTACGTCAAAAAGCAACTTCCATGAAGCAAGATTACTCAGAGATGCAGACTACGGTTAGTCAGTGATCTTACTAGTGCATGTCTTAGCCTTGCCTTTGTTACATGATTTGACTTTTGTAATAGTTATCTGATCATCTTTTGCTTGTGCAATAAAATAGAATAGCAGTCTGGAACAAAATATATATAGTTCTGGACCACCTCACTGAGATGCTTAATTTGTGGTTCCTGGAAAAAAAAAAAGTAACTGAAATCTAGTGATTCATTTCCGTTTAACACCTAAAGGCCTTAGGTGTTTGTTCAATAATTGACTTTTGTGTTACGTTGTTTATTACATATAGACCCAGACAGTCTCCGAGTTGAAGGATTTTGTCAAAAAGCTGAACTCATTGCCGGAAATGACTGTAAGAGTTCTTTTCTACTGTTTGATTATACAACAATTGTAATGACATTAGCAGTGTTATAATACTATTGGTTTTCTGTTCCAGAGACACATAAATCTTGCTCAGCATTTAACTACATTTACATCTAAACCTTCATTCCTTGGCCGACTTGATATGGAGCAAACTCTTGTTGAGGCTGAAAGCTATGATATGTGAGTAAAGTTAAACTTTTCATTCTACTACTTGTATTTACTCTGGTAGTCTTGTACCATTTCAACCTTTCAGTTCTCTGTTATAATATTCAATGGGTACTTGAAGGCTCTGTTACATGGAGTGCTTGGCTTCAAATATTGGACAATTGTAAATTCAAGTCCAGTTTTTGTTACCTAGAACAAATTCTTTGTATGCATGTTATGATGCCATGTAGTAGATTATTTTTGCTTGTGAACAAGGGTGTCCTTCATTTCTCACTCTTCCTTTCTTCTCTCTCTTTTTTTTCTTTTTTATTGTGTGGTAAGGAAAATGATTATTCAATCAGAAGAGAGGACATGCATATACAGATGCAGAGCATTCTTGGCCAGTCCATAAACCAACCTAAAGAAAATGAAGATATCCTTCTCAAAAATGCTAGTCTCCACACTAACTACTTAGAGAAAAATGCCTGCAATACCATCAATTCATGTCTTGCACACATTATTGTCTTTCGGAAACAGCCTCTCTACCTCTTCCGGGTAGGGGTAAGGTCTGCGTACACACTACCCTCCCCAGACTCCACTAGTGAGATTTCACTGGGTTGTTGTTGTTGTTGATTTCATTGTCGGGTTGCTTTTCAAGCAATTCTAGACCATTGGAGGAAAGGATGAGCAGAAAGAGGTGATATATGGGTTGGAGGTGCGAGAGAGGGGTCGAAGGGGTGGGAGGGGGTCTTGGTTGTGTTCTACCCTCTTCCTTTCTTCTGGGTGATTGTTTCATTTTCTATTTGCTTACTTTTTGGTCACTGGGTAAATGCAGATGCTTTGAGTACATTGAGGAGATGATCCATAAGCAAGAGCCACTTATCAATGTTCTACGTCTTCTTGTCTTGTTCTCAATAACAAATTCAGGGTTGCCCAAGAAAAACTTTGACTATTTGAGGCGAGTCAACTCTGGCAATAGCTGTTTTATTTATACTTGACATGGCTTCCATGCTTTAGGTATCATCACGTGAATCTCTAACTGATATCTTCAATTCATCTCTTTTGATTAGGCGAGAACTGCTTCACAGCTATGGTTTTGAGCATATAGCAACCTTGAATAATTTGGAGAAGTCTGGATTGCTTAAGAAACAGGTTCATTCATGAGTTTTCATCAACTATATTGCTTCCTGGAAACAGTGAAATTTATCAGCATTGTTCTCTCTATTAACTTACCTCATCATTGCAGGAGACTAAAAGCAATTGGATAACAATCAAACGTGCACTGCAGCTCGTAGTGGAGGATATTGATACTTCCAAGTAAGATATTATTTTGAGCTTGATAAAAAATTCGTCTCGCTTCCCTCCCTTGAAACTTGAACAATATGGCTATGTATTAAAAATGGGTTCTTGCACAGCTGTCATTATCATCACTACCTTACCATTGCAATCATTGTTAACTTTTTATTTTAACTCTGACAAATATAGTCCCAACGATATCTCCTATGTCTTCTCTGGGTATGCACCTCTCAGTATTCGCCTGGTTCAACATGCAATTCGATCTGGGTGGTGAGTTTTTGTTCTTAAGAGATTTCCTAATTCAAATAAACTGTGGTTTGCTTATGAATCTGTCTGCTTTAATAATTTGATTAGACCTCCTTGTGATTTACTGGAAGAAGATACTTCTATTCTATATAAACCTAGAGTTGGCCTTCATTAATTGAGAAGTAGTCATGGAATTAAGTCTTCTGCAAGAAAAGTTCACTAATTCCTCTTTGCAGTTAGAAATCTTACCATTATTTCAGTAATTGATTTCCTTCCTCCACTGTCCCCCATGTGGGTGGATAACTCCCCAATCCCAACAGATGTAGTTTGGAGCAGAGCGCTAATTTCTTAATCTCAGTCCACTATTTATGACATCTGGAAAATTTGATATTCAGGCGACCGATTGAAGAAATATTGAAGTTGCTGCCGGGTCCACACTCAGATATTAAGAGGGTACACGTTAACTTTCTGGTTATGTTTTGTTCTTCACATGGATTTTTCCATTTTTTGATCATATTATCATGGCATACAACTCTTAATCTGTTGTTTTTGCTTGTTTCTCTACAGGGTGGATTTTCCAGCAGTCCATCATTGGACACATTAAACGGGTCTTCGCATGGCTCGGACAAGTATGTATTGAATAGCATCCACTTACTGGCTCTGTAACATTCCCTGGCTTATAAAGCGCTGACAATAAAGTAAATGAAGTTTTAGATGCATGCTTACCATCATAAGTTAGCTCAGAGAAGCCAATAAGTGGAGAGAACTCTGTTTGGTTGTGAACTTAAGGTGATATTGATTAGAGATAGTATGAATAATGTTTTCTATTTGGATGAAATTGAAGCACGGTAAATGAAGGTGGGACCTGGATAGTGTGATCAGACCCGAAAAGCACATAGGTGGAGAGATATGTTTGGTTGTGAACTTTAGGGGTGATATTGACAAGAGGCCGTGTAAATCATGTTTGAATTGAGATGAGAATGAAATAAGGAAATGAAGGTGGGACCTGGTGCTGTGGTCTTGTTCGGGAAATATACCTGTATAGGTTCAAGCTACCTGGTAATCAGTTGTCTGCGAAGTCTCGGACAGGGCTTGCTCTAAGTGGAAATTTTATGGCTGTACCACGAATGAGATGATATAAGCAGAGATGGACACCCGAGTGATGGCTGCCTATGTCATTATGTTTTTGATTTGTTGCATTTGCTGCACCTTATTGTATTCTGTCTTTGCTCTTATCTTTATTTGATTGAGGAAGCATTTGAAATGTTGCTGGACCTTATATTTCATTATGCTAATTCATGCAAGCATCAAGCTGAAAATTTCTTTTATCATCTCTGGCCAGTATTAAACCTTCTAATACCATTGATGATGTTCCAGAGTTGTTGATGGAAGGCGCTCTTTGGTTCTTGTTGTTTTCATTGGCGGAGTGACATCTGCAGAGATATCTGCTCTTCGTTTCCTGAGCAGCCAGGTCAGTCTGATAAGTTTTAATCATGTAAATTGATTAACGCATTCAAAGTATCTCAGATTGTATTGGGGATGGCACACTTTGGAAGCATGCTATGGAAAAGGAACCAAAAACGAAATGGGTTAATGTAGAATACTATGATATTCAATGCAAGATTTTCGACCAGTGCTCCAATTCTAAATGCTGTAATAACTGCATTCGTTCCAATCAGTCACTTGGTCTCGTTACTGATCCCATGCTTCCTCTTATTTATCATTCTCAACCTCTTCAATGAATTCCTTTGTGCTAATGCTAGTTATGCTGTTACAGGAAGGGATGGCATATGACATAATTGTAGCAACTACAAAAATTATCAACGGAAGCACATTGACAGAAACATTTGTGGAGAAATTGGGATGACTTGCTAAGTTTTATTTGGTCGATCATCTCTGGGAATCTCTGCTGCTTGCTTGATAGGGATGCATAGTTTTTACTGCTGAATTATATGTGATATGAGAAGATTGAGTGGACTTACTGTTCCTAAGATATTTCTCTCGTGGCCATTTCTCAACATTTTTTCTGCACGGGTTTGTAGTTGTACGAACACCACTGTATTATCTTTGTTGAGGTATAGGCTTAGAATGCCCCGTGTGCTTCGAGTGGCAGCAGTCCTATTTCCAGTATTCGAGTGTTCTGTTATCTATATTATGTTTGGTTCTTTTGAGCAATGTAAGAACAAGATGGTGGATTTATTTGGTTTTTCTATCTACATTTTTCAGAACATTAATTGATATAAAAATGGAATATCCAAGCTATAAACACTGCTTAACACTTGGCCTAGACTAACACTTGGCCTAGACTAAGCCACATCCATGAGGGATCAATGCACGTCATGTTCTAGACAGGGCAGCCCGACGAATTTTGTGGCCTAAAGTCAAATTTTATGAGGGGTTTTAATTTTTTTTAAATTATTATTTTTTTAATTTGAAGTTCATTTTTTTTAGTTTTTTTTAGATGCAAAGTTATTAATAATTTTTTTATAATCAATTTTTTTCTAATAATTCTTTCTTAATTGATAATATAGTTAATTTATTTAACCTCTCTTCACACATTATTGAGCTTAGTTAAGATTTTATCAATTTTAATTTCGAAAAACTTCTTTCTGCTGAAGTAACGGTAACAAGAATTATTAACATTATTCTATAAGCAATATATGCATTTGGAAAAGAATCAAATCTTTTTATTTGATTGAATATATCAATTAAATTGTTATCTTCTAATTGTACTATTTTCCTTAACACTTTTAATTCAGAAAATAAATCTAAATCATCAATATCAGATTGATTATTATGCTTTAAGGAACACACAAGATTAAGGCAGTATTTTTTTAAATTTTCATTATCTAGCGATCTCAGTTTTTTACGCTAAATAGAAAACAAAAAATATTTTCATATGTTTCGAATTGTTCAAATCTATTTTGAAGTGAAAAAATAGTCTTGTCCACTATGTATAAATAGTAATTAACTCTCAAGGGCTCTTCAAGAGATTTCAATATCAATATTTTCGTCAAATTATTTTTTTCTATATATCACACATTACAAAGTTCGGGTTTGATTTTCATTTTAGATGCAATTTTCTTGGCAGAAATCATACCGGTTGTAAATCCTTTTATCCCTTAAGCTTTTAAGACTGACAAGTTTTAAAAGTCTTTTTTTTCTTAAATACCGTGACAAGTCAAACAACCCATCTAAATTGAAATATATAGAATATATAATATAATAGGTGTAATAAAAATGGGCCCCACAAATATGGATCTTGCCGTTTTCATTAGCTGTATATATGTAGCGACTTGTTTGAACTTTGAACACATTGATTTTGCAGCACAACGAACGAAAATTCATTTCCACAATAACTGCACACTATTTTATAAAAGAAAAAAACGTAAATAATCAGACGTCATCAGCTCATGCAAGTTTCAATTCCCCAAAAAGTTGACTCGGCCGGGGTAAAGGTATATACCAATCTTTCTGATAAGGTATAATACTATAATAGTTTAGGAGATACGGTAAGTGGTAACTATAAGTTGCAATCACTGTCAAAAATTCAAAAAGTGTATATAACTAACATCAATATCTAAACCCATAATAAACTTCGTAGGACAGTAAATATAATGAAAAATAAAGAAAAAACAAGATGTCCTAAAAAAGAAACCCTAAAGAGAAGTCTTGAGTACGCAAGCGAGGCATCTATATCTCATTCGAAGGCCCATGCAAATTCTTTGCAATCAATTGCTGCAAGAAAACGTCGCTATGACCCCTGAAAATTTTAATAGCTCATGTTTTTATTATTAATCCGAAATAACCTTTAGGCCAAGTTTATTGACAAGTTGTAGCTACTATTTCCAATGCACAAATTTTTTTTTTTTTTTTTTT